GACGGTTGCCCAGCCCGACTGGGCACGCATGGCCGTATCGTCTCGAGTCCGTCACGTGTCTCACCGAGAACTTTTCCTTTTGAACTTCCACGTGGGGCTTCAGACGGGCCGTGGCTGATATACCCAGTCATTCAAGATACAGGTCGAGGGACATCCAGAGCGCCCCTCGCGAAAACTAACTGACACGTGCCACCGTCGTCCAACGGAGTCTCCCTCATGTTGCATTCCCTGGCCGAAGCTCGGAATGCTATTCATACTCTTGGGGGTGCTTCTGCGGCGACGGAAGAGGAATCATTGCATGCCGGTCCGTCGCCGCGCGTCCAGCCGACGGATCCCTCGCTGTCCTTTCAGCAGAGCAGAGATTTCACGCACGATACAGTGGCCGTGTCGTCGTTGTCGGCCCGGGACCTCATCCGCCACCGCCGGCGGAAGAGGAAATCGCGGACCGCATCCGACCTCACGTGATTAGCAGAGAATGCCCGACGGAGAACGCTTCCCAGCGAGTGGGCGAGGTTCCTCGGCAGCAAAAACGGCCCGGAACGTCTTTGTCTGCCCCCTTCCCTAAGAGGCTGGACTTTGCCGCCATGTCGAGTGGCCGCGCCGAAGCCATCTGCGCAATCAAACTCCGCCAATGGACGAGCCGGAAAAGGTGGCGGCTTGGTAGGGGGGGGGGGGGGGGGGGGGGCACGAAAAAGAAACTTTTTAGCCTCTCGGAGCGGGTACCCGCGTTAAATTGTTGACTAAGAAAGAGCAAGAAAACAAAGGGCGAATGGGTCTGGAACCCGGTATTTGTGTTCTTGCTTGGCTCGTCGGTAGTTCTAAAAGGGTCGATTCGCAGAGCAAGGGGAGCAAGCCACGAGCATCATCGACGGGAGCTTGCAGATACGCCCTCCGAGCTTCGCGGGTTGAACGTCCTGCGACATGGGGTGCGAATTAGACATCGAGTGGATGCAGAGCGCAGACAGGGAAAAAAAAGGAAAAATTCCAGGGAGGAGACAACGCGAATGGAGGGTTTCAATCCAAATGGTGATGTGTAAGGGACGAAAAGCCTTGTTTCCCCTCAAGAAAGGAGCTCTGACGGGGAGATGAGGCTTTCAAGATTGCTTCTTTCTTTGTCAGGTAGGGGTGGCTCGTGATTGGTCGGGATGCCCGATCCTGCTACCTAGGGCTGACTGACATGGATGGAAAATGATCAAAGATTTGCTTCTTCCGGTCCGAATGTCGTGGCCACGGGTTGAGACGGAAACCCACGTTTCCCGGCACATTGAAATATGTTTTCTGCAGGCCCTGCTCGATTCGTCCTGATACCTCGCCTGGCGTGGTGAAGCTTGCATCTTGGTCACGAATCCTCTGTTGGGGCATGGAAAGTTCAGGATTGATTCTCGAAGCAACCCATCCGAGACAGCTCATCTCGGGCACCGGTGTCGCGGGATGGACACCTTTTGGCGAACCCGATACCAAGACCGAAGGGGACAGGACGTCCAGTCGGTCAGTGACGCACCTGGACGGTTCTAGAGCCGAGTTGTCCGCAATGCAAATCCACGTCCCTGCCACCTGCCGGGACACGCCCGCACGCGCAACGCGAAAGAGTTAGTGGCTCATCTTTGAGACCTGGGATCGCGGGCACACACGTCTGGCATCTTCACCACGCGGTGTGGCGGTTCGTCCGCGGGGCACTAAGGATGCCCGTCCTGCATGAGGAAGGGAGCGTGCGGTGCGGTACGAGACGGTGGTCGTACGGTAGTGCTAGTGCGGCCAAGCAGCACAGCTGTATCAAAGTACCTAGTAGGTAGGCAGTCAAGCTCGAGCATTTTCCTCCCCCCTTCTTTCGCGGCGGAGGAGCGGCCGTTGTGGATGCTGGAGCTGGAAGTGATCGTCCAAGCCGGAGGATTGCTGCTAGTACTAAAGTACATCTGCCTCGAGGATTTTGGCGGGTGACTAGCTCCGCTCCCTAGTTAAGAGGGTTGGGGACTTGGATGAGAGAGGAGGAAGATCTTCCGCAGTCCCCTCCCATTCCCAAAGATTTTCCAGAGTAGCCAAGACGAAGATCCCTCGAGTTGTGAATGCAGATCTTGTGGTCTAGAGCCCTCCATGACCGGCCGGGACGGCATGCTCCTCGTGGGATCCACTCGTGTTCATCCTCGCAGACGCACGTTCATCATCTTTGTCTACGTTTCGGATCCAATGCCTCAGAGTACTGGATTTCAGGCTAGGACCCGTTGCTGTCACAGAGCCCTGGCGGTTTGGCTCGGCTGGATTCGGACTCGTCAATGGGTACGGGGCCAGCCAGGAAGGGAGGATATTGGCAACATGGCGCGCGGGTCAAGGCAAGGAGACGCAGAGACTCGAGCGTGGTTTGTGGGCCAGCGAAGTGTGGGCTCGTCAAGAAAGCTGGACGGGAGGATGTGGCAGGAAGGTCTGACACGGGGCAGCGGCGGTGGTTGTGTCACCATCATCGGCGTTGACTGTCAATTCCTGGGGGGCTGTCTTTCGTTGGCGGCCTGTCGCTGTCGTTGTGTCTGGAGTGGTTAGTTGATCGGATCAGTCGGTCGAGCAGCGGTGTCATCCCGCCGTCGCTGTCACTGGACCCCATTCGTTTCAGTTGAGTTCGTATCTTGAGATCTTCGTCCTGAATCGAGGACAGGGATGGAGAGGGAAAGAGAGGCGGAGGCGGCAATCGTGATGTTTCTACACAGTATGAAACGAAGTCTGTGTGTGTGTGTATTGTGCGCGTGGGTATGAGTCGACTTTTGCGCTCGTCGCGGTACCAGAGTTGTAAGAGATCCGGATTCCGGCCCCCTCCCCCCCGTATAAGCTGTGACGCTGCAACGGCGCCAACGGAGGAGTCGACCGCGAACGGAGGTCGACCCGCGCCTGACCGGAATTTGAAGCTTAACACGAAGTCTCTTAAAGCCCGGGTTTGTTGAAGATTTGAAAACATGGAAAACAAGATTTTGTGGGATAGTGTGGGATCCGGGACCCTTTTTGTTTCCCACTGTGATGCTATTATCAACCAGGCGCAGACAAGCGAGCGAGCGAGCAAATGGACGCATCCCATCCTCATTTTGGATCAATTTCCAGAAGTTCATGTTTGCCGGTTTTGGTCGAAGAAAAACCCCGTGTCAGGTCTCGTTTGCTCGTATCGGATGATGGATGTGGTCCGGGTTGTCAGGTCGGGACGCACGAACTCTATTCTCCTAACCGACAAACAGCATGAAATATTGGACGGAGCAATTACAAGAACGTGCACCCACCATGGCCAGTGCCAATGCCAGTGCCAGTGCCGATGTCGTAACAAACCGGCCGTGGTGTTTGGCCACCCAACAGCGAACCAAGCATTCCTTCGGTACGTCCTGCGTACGTACATACACTACGACTGGCGCCCCTCCTCGCCCCCGCCGAAGAACGAGCAGGTATGTTCACATTGCAATCGTCAGGAAGAGAGGGCGTTCGCAATGTCGCCCGGCTGGCAAGTCGGAAGGTGAGATGCCGATGTCGTCGGCGAGTGCGTAAGATGGTGGAGAGCCGCCATGCTGATTGGGTTGGCGACTCGAGGCAACGTGGAAAATTGGGAAAGGGCGCGCGCGCAAATGTCCACCAAGTACGCGCACTATGCCATCCACCACCACTATACTATACAGAGTATGCGGTGTTGTGCTGTGCTATGAAAGTGGCGGCCGTGGCAGTGGCAGTGGTCTTTCGGCGACAGTGCATCGTACAGTACTAGGTTGGGTTCTGCTTTGTGAGATGATGGATAAGCGGACGATGGGACGGTCGGGTTGCACAGTCCAGACCTTGGACCCTCGCCGAGCTTAGCCAGGGGTGTCGGGGGAATCAAGGGATCCACAATCAAGAAGTGGACCCTCTCTCGCGGTTGCCATCTGGGGGCCGCTGCCAATCACAGCTCGCGAATGCCCCGGCCCTCACGTTTCGCCAACACCATGATCCCTGCGCTCTCAATCTCGTGCCTGTGTCCCGCAGATTCGCTTCCCTCCCAGTCCCCTGCTACCTGCGCCTTTTCCCTCCAGTTGTGGTCCCTACTGTCGCTCCCCATGCTCCACTGGGCGTTCGTTCGTCCTTGGTTCTGCTCACTCCTTTCTCTCTCTTGCAGTCACTGCAGTCAGTCGCTCACTCTCAGTCCCCCCTCTCTCCCTTTTCAGCTCTCGCTCCGCCTGCCGCCGCCGAACGCCCTCGGGAGACCAGCAACCCCGACCATACCAAAGCTGGACTCAGCCCATTTCACTCTCTTCCCATTCTCGCTTCGCCTCCTCCTCCTCTTCCCCCATCCAGCCATCCATCCCGCTCATTCCCTTCTCACCCCCCCCAGTCGGCTCAAGCCCAGTACCGTTGTCTTGCCTGCCTCTTTCTTGTTGCTCACTTTTCGTTTCTTTCCTCTGACCCCTTCCCACGTCCCTCTTCCTCCACCCAACATCTCCAGGTTCTCCATCTCCAGCCTACCGTTCGACGACCAAAAGAGATCCAACCCCCGACAGCCCGTCCCGTCGTCGCTCGATTACCGGTTCGACAATTTAAACAAATCGCCGTTGATGTCTTTCACTTCAGTCGCCTAGTCGCCCTCTTTTTACCACCACAAATGCCGAGCTAGTCTCACAGTCCACTCGTTATCCAACTACCACACACACACACACACTCTCTCTCTCTCTCTCGCTACCGCTCCGAATTCTCTCGCCTGTCAGCTCGTCCATTCCAGTCCATACAACGCCACCCACTGCGCATTCCTCGACTCGTGCCTCCGAAAAGACTACGACCATTCTACCGAGCCGACATTTGTTTCTCATCCATTATATCTATCGCCATTCCTTCCCTCTCGCAGACGGTTTCCCCGGCACCGACCAACGGTCCGCTCGATTCAAGTGTCTGAGCGCCCCCCGAACTGATCGACACCTACACCCAACGGTCTCGCTTCGCAGATCGACATCACTAGATCAGCGCTGTCGACTACTTTCTTCCATTCATCCATAGCCAGATTGTCATTCATCATGGCTCAATTCGATCCTAACCTTCACCTCCGCTCGCTCGAGGAGCTGCACGCTGGTATGTGCCCAGATATCGCGACGACCCCATCCCGACCCCCCTTTGCTGACATGACCGCAGTTATCCTTCCTCGACAGAACGGCTGTCTCAAGTGCGAGGACAAGGCGCCGACATGCCCGACCAACTGCAAATCCGACGAGTTCTGCTCCTTCACCATCCCGACGTGTAACACTTGTGCCCAGGCCATCTGTGCCAAGGACGACAGCCAGTCCTCGTCATCATCAAGCAGCAAACCCAACACGGGCGCCATTGTTGGAGGTGTTATTGGCGGTCTCGTCGTCATTGCGATCGCTACCTACCTCGTATGGAGGTTCTTCATCAAGACCAAGAGACAGTCCATCATCCAGGAATCGTACATCGAAGAGTCCAACGAGAAGACCATCAACGAGAAAACGACCGGCGAGCCGCGACAGACCAACCGTGACTCGACACACACCGTTCACTCGATTGCATCGACGGTGCTTACCCGCGCTTCCAACATAATCCAGATCGCCTACATCCCCGGCGTCACGAACCGCGCCACGCCCACGTCACCGACGCTCCTCGTTCCTCCCGTGCCCCCTATTCCGATGCACGCCTCCAACTCGACCACCAGCAGCCCGTCCCCTTACGAGGAGCAGCACTTCTTCGTTCCCGGCGAACTCCGCGATTCCACTTACTCTGGCATCTCCGGCTACTCAGACCGCACATCCGTTGCGAGAACTTCGTACGCCCCTCGCTCCAGTATCGCACCTAGCATCGCGTCCACCATCTACGGCAAGAACGCCGTCGTCGTTGCGCCTGCCCAGACCGGCATGCGTGCCAAGGCTGCTGTGGTCAGTGTCAAGTCTATGGGTGTCGGCACCAGTGGCAGCAGCACTCCTCCTGTCCCCAGCGTCGACTATGAGAAGTACGCCACCGGTCGTCCCAGGAGTCGTGACAGCAACTTCAGCGTGGGATCTACCTTCCTGAACAACGCCAATACTGCGACGGCAGCCCCCGTCCAGAGAGTGCAGGTTGTTCGTGTCGGCAATGGCAACGGACCCAAGCAAGTCAGTGTTGGATCTTCCAAGGCGTCATCAGCAGTAGACGAAGCCTCTGTCCCCGGTACTCCCCCACCACCTAGCACATCTGCTGCCGCTCGCGACTCTGCTGCGGTCACTGTCATCGACGAAAGTCCGGCGGTCGACCAGGGCCCCTTCTCCGATCCTCCTGAGCCTCAGTCCGCAGCCGTCCGCAGCAACCACAGCCTGAGTGCGGTGATTGAGGAGGCCACACGACGAGCCGCCGCAGGGCCTGACAGGCGGTCTCAAAGAACAAGCTCATACGAGCGGGGACGCAGTCCCTTTGGCGATGAACACGCCACGAAGGACTAAAAACCCCCAAACCCAAAACTAACAAAGAAAAAAAAAAACCAACCACCCCAAAACAACACATGACGGGCGTCGGCCCTGATCACGATTTACTACTATTTACTTGCCTATATATCAGGGATGATATCCCATGTTTCTTTCACGTATCTACCTTTTGTTAGACGACCCGGTTGAAATAGGCCTACGGGACCAGACCGAGGGACGACTTTGGATGGACAGGACTCTTATGGGATAGGCATTGGCGTCGTGGATATTCTACTTTATTTTACTTGATGGAAGGGTTATGGAATGATACGTAGAGGTGTACGTCAGCCATTCACACCTTTACCAATGTGTCTATTGAATAGAGATGTGATTATCCATCCACAGCCGATCTGAGCCTGTGCCCGTGAACCCACTCTGGTGATTGTGATGGTCCACCTCCACTGTTTATCACCATTCAACAATGACTGGAAGAGTCCGTTCTCTACTCAAGGTACACTGTGCTGCCAAGGTTGTCTGATCGGCCAAGCGATCATCGTATCTTTTGTAATTATTGCGGTAGTCGTGTACCAACCCTGAGGCCGCAGCGTCCCAGCCGAGCTAGTCAGCATCGCCGCTCTTACTCAGGCTCACGTCTGTTAAAGTACGTCAATCGATAGGATATACCTTGTTGTGACTATTCGGCTGTATGTCCATAGAAAGTCCCCTTATCTGCCGGCCTGCCTTTTGCTAGGTGCTAAATACACGTGCTATTGGATTTCATGTATTTAGCTACATGCGTGGCGCCGTGGTATGCACCTGGTCTGTTCGACTCCGGCCGCAGGAACCCTCCTTGAGACTTTTCCCTTGCAACATCTGATTGGGACCGATGTGTACTACTACGTTAGTGTGCATGTGACGGAGATGAGGATGAAAGGGGCACGTAACTGCCACTGGTTAGGTTAGCGTGGAGGTACCGTACTCTAGGCGAATGATAGATGTGTATCTGATTTTACTAGCTAAGCTCGTAAAACAACTGGCACATGCATTTAGCACATAGCAAAAAGCAGGCTGGCAGATGAGGGGGTTTCCCATAGACATACAACCAAACAGTCATACCAAGGGATATCCTATCAGTTATTGTACTTCAACCGTTGGCTCTCCCATGACATAGTCTAACTAATGCTCTACTACTGCAAGGGTTAAAGATCTAAAAGCACCTCGGCATACAGAGCCCAGGATAGCAGTTGGCCGGGTTCTGGGCGCTTATATTGAAGTGGTCAGTGGCTCGACTGAGCTTGTCTGAGCGAGGGAGATGTAAATTTCACCGCATGTGCCTGCTAAGTGGTTATTATAACCATCATTGACCTGGAAACAAGGCAGGTGACTAAGCTTTTAGGAGTTGTTTGCTAAATGGACCCGCTGCTGCCTATCGTTCTCCCTTGAACACTGGTTTCCCCTTTGTCGTTTCAACGATCTCAATCAAACGAGCCTTCCTTTGCGCACAACTATCCCGATGCCTCTGTGGTCTTGCGACTTTGAAACATGTACGAATCCGGCTGTGCAAAGGGAAGGAGACTGTCTATGTTGCGACAGACACCTCTGTCGCACACATCTCTCAGAGCCATTCCACAAATGCCCAAACCCAGAGGTCTGTAACACCCACTTCAGAATGCCCTGATAGTACAACTTGGGCTAATTGCTTCTAGGAAAACTGGTCGTCGTTCTCCACGCAATACACAGCCACTGAGGCTCGTCACATAGACGAGCTATGCCGTCGGATAAACGGTTCCAAGTTATGCTCTCGGGCATCAGAGCTAAGGGGCGGTATTCCTTGTACCGTCAACCTCTCCCGTCAACACCTGTCTTCTATGATGGGACACCCAAACCGTCACGCCGAGATCATTTTCGAAGACAGGGTTAGTTGGCTGGCACGACTTCGCCTTACCAGAACCACATCACCACCGGAGGAAGTCCGTGACTTCATTTTGAGAAGCGAAGCGGCCACCATGACCTACCTCCAAGAGCACACCAGCATCCCCGTCCCTACCATTTTTGACTGGGCCTGCGAGTCCGATCCAGGAAACCATCTTGGAGTCAGCTACATCCTAATGGAAAAGATTGACGGAAAGCCCTTGGTTTGGCAAACGACAACTCGGGCTCAGAGAGAGAAAGTCATGCAACAGCTGGTTGATGTGTTTCTGGAAATAGAAAGGCATCCATTTGAAGCCATGGGATCGCTCCTTACCGTTGGGTACCCTGCTCAATTCGTGGTGCAAGGTCTCGCACAACACGCAACATACCGGATGGGAGCTGGAGGGCCGCTTGGTCCTTTTGCTTCCTCGCTAGAAGGGTCAGTCGCCATGGTTAAGTCGTACCTTGTGATGATAGCCAACGGCGAAATTGGTGCCTGCCATTCGGTAGACACTTACCTCACTCACCGCTTCCGTCTAGACGTTGCCAACAGCCTTTGGGAAGGTGATCCGTCAGGGGGTCGATTCTTCCTCAAGCATCCGGACGACAAGGGCGACCACATCCTCGTGAATGAATCTTGCGATATCGTTGGAATAATAGACTGGGAGTGGACTCGGACCGTTTCCGAGTTGGAAGCCTTCAGCTCGCCATGCATGATGTGGCCGCTGAGAAAGTTCTACGAAGGCTCTAACGAGTTATCCCCGGATGAAATGCGGCTAGCGGAAATTTTCCAGGAAAGGGGCCGTAAAGATCTTTCCAACTGTGTCATCCTCGGCAGAAAGGTTCAAAGATTCTTCTTTGCTCTAGGTCCCGAGAGCCCTTCAACAGATCGAAAGGCCTTTTTGGATCTCTTCGCTGGACTCAAAATGGCCTTCACAGTTGACAACGAAGCGTGGGAGCAATGGAGGGACAACGCCCTCGTCAAATGGAAAGACGATGAATTGCTTCAGATGTTGCTTCGCCTTCATAAAAACAAGGATCAACAGAATGGGTGTTAAGTTTCATGTCACTTCTGTTACTCCCAACAACATACGTACACCATTTAGCCATCGAAGAGATGTTCGTCATAGACCGCGGTGCACAGTTGAGGCTCTTGGAGTCTAGGTTCCTTTAGGGGGATATCACTATCTCTCGTCTCTTGCCCGCGCCTGTTCATCGACTCTGATGTACCTCTCATCAGGAGGGTTCTTTCTGTGCTTTGAAGGTAAGCTTTCAAATGCCGATCTATTTGCACCAGCACTTGGAACAAAGAGATCAGTAACCCTCGGGTCAGGACCTCACTCACTAAGCTAATGAATGAACAAAGCCTTGGTGAAGAAGGCTATTCCATATCAGTAAGAAGACGTCAAAAAAGACAAAATGTTCCGAAACCGAGAATCGAACTCGGGGCTATGCCTAACCTCTCAGCGGAGATGAGAGGGCATCATGTTGGCCACTACACCATATCGGATGTTGTTGAAAGAAGTGAAAAGTTTGCGTTTTATGTATCGTTGAAGCCCCGCACACCTTCTCCACTCGCAATGGCGAGCCCTCTTAGGTGTAATCGCACGCTTTATTTTTTTATTCCACCATGCAAGCAATATCATTCAAGATGGATTGGCCCGTCTTCTTTTAGAATCTTGGAACTGTCGTAGTAACTTTGTGTTTGCCTAGTGGTGTCGCCAGGTTGGTGTTGCTGAATGGTGAGGGGCAGAGGCGCCTAAGAATTTTACAACCATCGTCACTTGTGTGCAGCTACATTATACATGATTTAAAGGAGACCTTTCTGAAGGAGGGCTCCAAACTTCAGGGGGAGTAAAGGAAAATAGCACCTTAGGCTCGTATCACTGCATCAACAACATGCTCTACAGGACCGGCTGTCTAGTTGCCAGAACGGCAGCAAGTCGCCTCGAGCAGAAGACCGCAAACATGTCTGGTTCCACCATGTCCAGATTAAGTATCAGGTTATTGGTATGGTTGGTTCTCGTAGTTTAGTGTCATTAATTTCTCACTTTGTGCGTAACTACAGGGCATGGACGTGCAACAGGCGGACGGTTGGCGCCGTCAAGTGTGAATGTAGATAGGTAACCAGCATATGTGCCTGTTGATCTCCGCTAGTAATTTGATGTAAAAGTTTGGCCAAGCATTTCAAGATAGCCCTGGGTCGAAATGTGTCTGTCAGGGCTACACCTGTTGCTATCCGCTTAAAGCTTCGCGACAGGCCGTGACTTCTTTGTGATCCATCGCCATCGTCAACGTATTCATATGGATAGTCCTTCAGACACAACCATTTGTATTGATCTTTAGACGCCGTCGTATAAAGTTTGTGCTAGACCCTCTGACATGGCCAGCAACCGGCACACGGCTTGTCTACGTGGTGGACTTTGCAGACTTATCCACTCGGTAACGCAATCCTATGACCAGTGGTCTTTTAGTTTCGCGAGTAGTGTACCCTTCAGAATGGTCCATTATTCATCCAATCTTGACTGCTTTATTGGTATAGTAGCGTTGACGTTATACTTGTAAATGTGAGACGGAGCGTAACAAGCTGAGGCGACGTCGTGTGCCGATTGCAGAACCCATCCCAAAGCACTTCAAATATCCAAACAACTTACCCAGACAATTTCTCGGTTTGGTCAGCCCAGCAAGAAGAAATTATCTATCACTCCACAAAGGAGCAAAAGAGCAGGAGTGGAACCTCTGTCAAGCGCATGTAGAGGAGGCCTCAGGCCATGAACAAGGAGTGTGGACAGGGACGAGTAGCATTGCACTACGCATGTCTTGTATTTGATGCCGAGTAATCTCTCTGGTCAGTTGGAGACTTGCCTGTAAGGATCACTGCCGCGCAGCGAGAGAGAGACACCATGTACTTTTTATATAACCCACAACCTTGACCAGGCCGCCAGAAAGGCAGTCCTCATGAACCAAGCAGAAGCAACTCCAAGGCAAAGTAACCACACATCTGCACTCAAGAACCAGCATTGATAAACATCACGGTACCACCCAACCTGATCTAGCCCCTTCATTATCCCAGTGCCTTCAACTGCCGAGACCCCGTCAACCTCGCCACCAACATCCACCACGCAGCCATGTCTCATTCCGCATACACCGTTTCCACACGCAGCCACAAGAAAACACACGAGCTCCCGGCCGTGGATCTTCCGTCCTTGCTTCAGGGACCTTTCTAGAAGGGCAGTGGTGCCATGTCTCAATTGAAGGCGAACCCAATGATTCGCAGACATGCAAGCATGAGGGAAATGAGCGGCAGTGCCGCTGCGGCAGATCTGCAATCCCGCAGGTTGCAGCGCGTTGCCCCTCCTCCTCTTCGCAGACTTCTCGACGAAACAGAGTTGTTCGACGTGGAGAACGTCTGGTCTGTGAGGTTACGTCCGAGAGGGCTATTCTTGCTAATGTTGACGGGAGGCGAAGCGAATGAAACATTGGATGCATGCCACCCCGCGGATTTGCGCCTTCGTCTACGGACGTATGTCATGTATACACCAAACTGTCTTATATCAAATGCTGCGCGGCGGCCTGACCCGAGCGACATGTTCGCCCGACAGCATCATTCCCTCAACAGCGTACGGTCCTTGGGACACCGTGCAGCCTGCGCCAAGGAGAATACGGCCTCACTTTGGACTGTCTACCTCGCAGTATCAGAACTTCTCATGCTCAGAGTAATGTCAGCGCAGATTCTCACGTGAATGCCCGAGACGACACGGTTCTACCAAAGTGACATCGCATACGTGCTCGATCAGAACGTGCAAAGTAAGATGGCTCAATACCATCAAACACCCGGGTGCTGTGCGGGCTCGCCGTATCGGAGGTACCTCCGAGCGGCGAACCCCGGGCGGGACCTGGCTACGGAAACGACTCTGCACGGAGGTGACGACCAGATCGGACCTCTAGCGCCGGACCCGGTGGGGGGAGAGAGAGAGACGATCATCGAACGCCCATACCCCCTTCCGCCTCACCCAACCACATAGACCGGACCGTCCTTTTCGCAACGGGGATCCTGGCGTCCATCTACTAGTTCAAGTACAGAGGACCGGTTCAAAAGTTTTGGCCAGGCTCCCAAGTAGTTGTGGACCCGGAATTACTACTATACAAACCAGTACGAAATCTTATCAGAGGGGACAAGGATTAGTCCCTATTTATTTCTTTTTCAGGGCCATGTAGCCGCTGGATCGAAAGTATCACAGCGAATTAATCCGAATATCGTGTACCCTAGGTACTGATAGTGTTGGCGAGGTGATTCTGCACTTCACCCTGGCCAGAACCTTTGAACCGGTCCTCTGTAGTTCACCACTGTGTCGGAAACCCCTGCCGATAGAGCAAAAGCTAAAGAGGCGGGTCGACGATCATACCATCCGAGGCGGACGAAATGTAGCATTCTACCCACTCGAGATTGGGGACAGGTCCAAAAGCGAGGTGTATGAATTACGAGAGAATAGGAGTATTCTTACGTACGCAGATTACATTTGTTCATCTCCGTTTGACCAAGTTTCTGGTCGAAAGACCTGTTGCAGCACTAGATGAGCGAGGGGCGGTTGCCCCCCCTCTTCTACTCGTGCGGTAACGTTCTGGCCCCCTTGATGACATGTCCCGAGACCCAAGAGGAAGAGCGTCTTTGTCTTTGGAAACCTTCCGGTGAAGGGGTCTGTTTGGTTGTCTTCCGGCAGTTGAAGGGTGGCAGAAAGTCAATCAGAAACGTGGGAAGAACGCGGCTTGGCCCGAATGGGTGTGGCTCTGGGATCTGCGAGCTCAAGGAGCGGTAGGTGTGGTCAATCGTTTCCTTTTCCTCCCGTCTCGTTTCTTTTTCTCCTGCGCGGGCCGTTACACGGGCATAGCCGTGCCTGGTCATGACCTTATGACGTGGGCGGTCCCCTTCTTTGAAAACGTGTTTCGAGTTGAATGATGGCTGGACGAAAACTTCCATCCTCCGGAGGAGAATGATGAAACAGACAGGTCATATTCTCAAATGACCTGCTGTCACGCCAACGTCCAGGCGGCAAAGTTGAGAACCATTGTGAGTATTGCACTAAAACTTGGTAAGCTGCCCGTCAACCTCTCTTTTCATACCTTGCAACGGGGATGCAAGGCCATGATGCACCAGTGACTATGCCTTGTTCTTCGGCGGGCGTAAGGTTGATTGCTCTCGAAACACAACTGGCTGTCGGTCTTGGTAAGCGCCGGGCCACTCGAGCTCTTGATTTTGTCCGTCTCTTCGCTCAGGGGTATCGATGAAAGGGGTCTATAGAAGCGTTCCCGAACGTACAGGGCCTTGGTCGTCATAGAGGCGCATGGTAGGCGTCGATTGGATGTTGAGAATCGGCTCTTGAGAACCCCCACGACCTCGGATGGTCGTTGACCAACGCCCGTAGCACTGCGGCGTACCACTTTCGTAAAGGGCTGCGAGAGGTCGGCTCGGTCGGTCAAGCAGCCTTGGATTACTGGTTCACACATTGGCATGGTTGGAAGTTACCCAGCGACTCTGGCCGCGAGGAGGATATCTTTAGATCATCATGACCACAAGACCAGATCAGGTTGCATGGCGGGGAGATCTCCGATTGGACTAGCCCTGCTTGAGTTGTGTTTGCCTATTCAACGTGCGTAGAAAGACGTGGGAGTCGAGAGTGATTGATGCCCCCCTACTCATGCAGTGTGACGGCGCAGGCTCAGCATCAACCGCCCAGCTTGTACACCATTCCGAAGACAAAAACACCACTCCCGCTTGGCACGGCAAACAATATGGACTGCCATAGTGATTCGACTTGATGGTGTAACAACAACGGAATGAGTTGAGGGTTGGAGAACCGCGACTTGTTCAATGATCGTCTGTACCGCTGAAAGTTAGAATTGTGCGGAGAGTGACAACTATGGGCAAAGCAATCAACCGGTGTACACGACGCCTGACATCGCAAAATGGTTAAATAACGTTCAAAGGTCACAGGGGCTCTCCAGGGTATCATCTGAACGGACCAGACTCGGCTCACTTGCATATGGCCGTTCAAATCGT